TCTTCCTCGTCTTCTGGTCACTTCTATCCGCCCTTCTATCTTTCCTTCAATAACTTCTTTTAGGAGGCAGTTACTGCGTAAAACATGACCAATCCAATTAGCCTTCCGTTTTCTTATTTCGTGTAGGATATTCCTCTGCTCACTGACTCTAATTAACACTTCTTCATTTCTCACATAATCGGTCCAACTGATCTCCATCCTTCTCCAGCACCACATTTCGAAACTTTCCAGGTGTTTCTGATCTACTGCTCTAAGTGTCCATGTTTCAGCCCCATACAGAGCTATGCTCCAAATGTAGCATTTCATTAGTTTCTCAAATTTAAGTCCAATTTTCTAGTAAAAAGAAAAATTCAGGACCATTTAACAGATACTCTCGTCATAACGAGATGAGAACGGGCAATTCCTCTGTTCGGTGTGGCGTTAGAAAATTTCGTATCTATATTTATAGCTTATTTAACGACGTCAATAACTCAGACTATACAATGTCAAACTATTGGAGTTTATTGAGTAGTGAAAAGGCTATTGAACCAGACAGTCGTGACCTAATTTTAATATACTATTGCGGTGTTTCCGTTGAGGTACAGAGAAACACGAAATACATCTTGATAATCGATAACCCAGGAGAAATTCGAAGCGAGCACCTTTCTACTAGAGGTCGCATTGCTGTCTGGGATAATTTTCTCGGTAACCGTGTTATCTTACACATCAGTCGACTCTTTCAGGAATGTTCATAACTTCCGGTTTATTACGCTCTTTGCTGTAAAATCGTTTAATCCCGAAGAATTTGTTCGAGATCAACCTGCGGTAAATTTTTTCTCTTGAATATACAAGAACATACTGTTCGGAATCCAGAAATTGACCATTCGAACTGCTAGTAAGAGATATTTGTTCCATAAATTAAGCAGTTGGAAAATAGTCGATAAACATCCAACCTAAAAGGCTTAATCTGGTTATAACATTCAGTATACTGCTCTCCAGCTTGTAACGAATCATTCCCTTTGTTGGAGTTGAAAGCGGAAAATGAACAATTTTTTACGTCGTTACTGGGAACGCGATACAATCAGAATGTGTTCTTAATGTCGAATGAAGTTTGTAGACTGAACGCACTGTTGAGTGGCCCAGAACCACTTTATCTTCCTCGCTGTGCCAGTAGCAGTGCCTGGTGTGTGCAGTCAGATCACGTGATGATGGTGATATAATAGAGAAAGTTGGAAACAAACATGCCAACCGCCCTCCCTGATGTTAGATCAAGCATCACACCGACTTCTGTTCGAAAGTTGCCAGTAAAACTTCTCTACTGTAAGGAAGAGTGTGATTTCCCACCCACCCAAAAAAAAATAAAAAGTTTCTCGGGGAGTAATTCATAGCCTCTACCTAGACACACCCAAAGAAAAGTATATAGTATACTTTATTATATTTTTAGAAATGTCAATTTTTCTCCTTTTTAAAATTGGTTAACCAAATATATATTTAATAATGGATTTCACGGTCTCGGAAATTTTGAATTTATCTTTTAGCCCGAAAGGTAAATGAATTCACCGAATTTAGGGAACTGCGCGTCTAGATTTCCAAATAGTTCATGTAAACATGGGACAGGAAATGCCTTGGTAACGAGTTTCCGAAGGTGCTCCGGCAGCAGTTGTGGTTACA